GAGGGGCTGGCTAGAGCGGAGCCCAAGTGGGGGGAACCATAGAGAGCGGAGGGGGCTGGCTAGAGCGGAGCCCGAGTGGGGGGGACCATAGAGAGTGGAGGGGGCTGGCTAGAGCGGAGCCCGAGTGGGGGGGACCATAGAGAGCGGGGGGCTGGCTAGAGCGGAGCCCGAGTGGGGGCACTATAGCGTGCAGGGATGGCTGGTGGTTAGAGCAGGGGGGTCTGGGAGCCAGGACTCCTGGGTTCTCTCCCCGCTCTGGGAGGGGAGTGGGGGCTGGTGGGTTAGAGCAGGGGGTCTGGGAGCCAGGACTCCTGGGTTCTCTCCCCGGCTCTGGGAGGGGAGTGGGGGCTGGTGGATTAGAGCAGGGGGGCGCTGGGAGCCAGGAGTCCTGGGTTTGCTGTGTAACAGGGGTGCTCCCTGTGGATTTGAGGGTCACTAACGCCCCCCCTCGTTGCAGGGAGCCGGAGCAGTGGCTCTAACCGGAGCGACGGGGGTGGTGGGGGCCGGGGCAAGGCCAAGGACGAGAAGGCGGGCCCCGACTCCAAGTCGGGCAGCGGCAGCGAATCGGAGTACTCGACCCGCAGCAGCCTGCGGCGGGCGGAGCCAGGGGGCGTGGCCGGTGGGGGAGGCCCCGCCCTGGCGGTGGGCGGGGCCGAGGCAGCCGGGGCTCCCCAGCGCAGCCATCACAGCTTGGTGAGCAGCATGCGCTCCCACCACTCCTACGGGCCTCCCGGCATGCCCCTGCCTTACAACCCCATGATGGTGATGATGATGCCCCCCGGCCCCCCCAGCGCTGGCCCCGCCTCCGTGCAGCCTCCTGGCGCCCCCCCCAGTCCGCGACCTGGCCTCCGTGCCCCCTGAGCTCACCGCCAGCCGCCAGTCCTTCCACATGGCCATGGGCAACCCCAGCGAGTTCTTCGTCGACGTCATGTGACCGGCTGCCCGCTGGTGGTCATGTGACGCCGCCCACAGCACCGTCTGACGCCACGGGACTGACTCCTGGCTGCGTGACTCGATCCATGGCTCCCTTGATGTCACATGACCTCCGCCCGTGGAGCCGTCTGATGCCACGGGACCGACTCCTGGCCGTGTGACTCGATCTGCAGCTGCCTTGACGTCGCGTGACCTCCGCCCACGGAGCCGTCTGACGCCACGTGACCAACCCAACCACCTGTGGTGACTAGACTCCGCCTCTGTGTGTCATGTGACCCAGCCTGTAAGCACCTCAACCTCATGTGACCTCCCGGCCATGTTGCCTTGACGTCCCGTGACCTCCGTCCAAGCCAAGGAGCCTTGAGAAGCCACCTGACCGAACTCCTGGCCACGTGGCTATCACTCGTTGCCTTGTGGTCACGTGACCTGCCATCCACACGGAGCCTTCAGATGCCATGTGACCAACCGGTATCACGTGATCTCCCTCCACACGACCCTTTTTGGGGGTCACGTGATGCAGCCTTGACCTTCCTTGACCTAGCCACAGAGCCTTCCTGGGTCACATGACCCGCTTGGCCGCTTGTGGTCATGTGACAGCCGGTAGCAACCTTGACAGCGGGTGACCTCCGGCCATGGTGCTTTCGTGACTTGGTGGCCACCCGTGGTTGCTGGGCCACGGCCTGGATGTCACGTGACCAACACCACCGCCTGGCTCCCCTGTGATCATGTGAGCCCCCACCACATCCCTGACATCAGATGGGCTCCACCAACCAAGTCTTCCGCCGTCACGTGACCACTTGTGGTCCTATGTGACTCCGCCTTCCTGTCCTGTAGCTGCCTTGATGTCACATGCCCTGCGCCTGGTCAGGTGACTTAGTTTCCCTGGGCCACCTGACAGCTTTTTCATATCCTGTGACCCGCTGTCAGCAGCCACGTGAGTCGCCAATTTTAATCATGTGATTGCCTTCCGGGGCCACGCCTTTCTTAAAGCCACATGACCAGGCGCGGGGTCACGTGACCCACAGCTGGGGAGCAAAGCCAGGACTGGGGGCTTTCTCTCCAGTTTTGGACGGTACTGTCCCAAATCCGCTCTCCCCATTGGTACTGACACCCCCCAACTCCCCCGGCGCCGCTCGGTACCACCCCCCACAGCCCCGGTGTGGATGAAGTGACGAGATCTTTTCTCCTTCCAAAAAGATCCTTTTTTTTATAACTTTTTTATTATCGATTTTTTTAAAAAAAACAAACATGTTCTTTGAGACATTTTTATACACATTCTTTGTATTTAAAAAAAAAAAAAGCACAGTTTTTGAAGGTCCCACCCCATTTTATCCTCCCCGGCCCCCCAAACTTGCATAATCAGGGTGTCTGATTGAGATGGGGGTCCAATTACCCCCTCCCAGCGAGCAATGATCTCTCTCCACCTGCAGGCATGGTCAACTACAAACCTCCCTCGACTCCTTCCCCCCCCTTGCATTTGGGGGGCACCCCCTCTCCCCCCCGACGCACCTGACCGATATTGACCGCTCTGGTCTAGACCAGGAGGTCAATCTTGGGGTGCTCGGGGGTGGGTGGGGTGTTTCTGATGGGGAAGCCAAGACCACTCTAGGTTGGATAGTTGGGGGGGGATATTCCTGATCCGCCCCTGTTGCCTGGGGGGCTCCGAGTTGGCTCGGATCACCCCCAAGGGGTGGCGATTCTGTTCCCTCAACACAGCATGTTACCCCCCCATGAACGCTGCTGGGGGTCCCCCTTTTCTCCAGCCCCTCACATAGGCTATGTACCCCTCCTAATGGCATGGGGGGGTCCTCAGTTTTCTCCAGCCCCCCTACATACACTACCTACCCCCCACAAATGGTGCTGGAGGTTCCCCATTTCTCTGCTGAGGGGTTGGGGGGATGGTAGCAGAATCCTATTTTGAATAATGTATTTATTTTTAGCTCTTTGTGTATTAAAAGAACAATAAAACGATAAAAATAAAGCAAAGGGTTCGAAAAAGAAATTGGGGCCCGGCGGTGGGGCTATCTGTGCTCCTGGGTTGGCTGGAGATGGAGTTCTGGCCCTTCGCGGTCTAAGGTGCTTAGCTGGTGCCCATCACCCTGGTATCTGAGCAGTGGGGGCCAGTGGGTTAGAGTAGGGGGGCTGGGAGCCAGGACTCCTGGGTTCTCTCCCCGGCTCTGGGAGGGGAGTGGGGGCTGGTGGGTTAGAGCAGGGGGGTCTGGGAGCCAGGACTCCTGGGTTCTCTCCCCGGCTCTGGGAGGGGAGTGGTGGCGGGGGGGGTGGGGCACGGGAGCCGGGGAGGGCGGACC